TGAGTACTTTAGATCTGCACTTCCGATTGACGCTTGTCGAAAGTGAATCATGGTGTAATTTGTACTCGAGGGAAAAAATAGATCGAAAATTGCTCAGTATTGGAAATTTTGAAACATGTTCCAATTGGAACAAAAAATACTATAGCCCTTTTTATGTATTTATTCCTTTGCCCATTTGGTAAAGCACATTGTTACGTTTAATAATAATGTTACCAGGATAAATAGCACTGCTAGTCCTCGGGCAAGACGATATATTGCACCTCCAGCTTTTTCTGTTTTTCCAGTTGCATCCTCCACGAATAGACAACAAGAAACCATCAAGAATCCGTGACCGTTGGGCGCCAGCCTTGAACCCGAGAGACTACGTTTGTGTAAGCGATCATGAGAGAGAGAGAGTCTGCCTGACGATTTACGTTAAAAGGGGTGAATGGTCAACGCGGGGCGTGCCATGGATGTATTCACGCTGGCTGAAGTCCTGAGACAGTTAACCGATCATAAAGTTGCGGCTTTTCAGACACACGAAGTCCCCAAATGACATCCGCTAAACGAAGGTACGATATCCCTAAAAAAAGCTGACGGAAGAAGTAGCGGTATTGAAGTTAAATTGCGGAGTAAGGATAAATAGGAATACGCACTTTAATTGTGACAAGCTGGGTGACTGTCGGAGAAATTTCCCAGAAGGATACAGCAAGCTTTTTTCAACAAACAGTTGATTTAACACACCCGCATCTTCCCAAACACAACAGTTCTCTCTAGGAGGTTTGGCTTATTTCTGACCGTTGAAAAACCGCATCCTTTTGCGTACTACTTACAAACCACAGTAGTAATTTACAGCATTAGTAGTTGGGTTATGCAGATTTTTCCTAATAAAGTGCTAACGAAATAAAAGTTTGAAAGGATTAGAGTAGCACTTTAGGAGCCCTTTTATTTGCCGGGTGCTAATCTGGTGGCCTTTTGGCGTATTTTTCTGAGCTCACAGTACAAGAAAGTGAACGAACACTGGCTACCACCGCTAGTGTAACGTTCTAGTGTGACATGAAGTAGACTACCTTAAAATCCCAGAACGACGAAATTTTTCTAGTTTAGTTCTCTTATCCTCGGACAACAAACGCTTGAAACTTATACCCCTCGAGAGCAATAGCGCCAAAGAGCATCGTAACATTCATGTAGTTTAGAGTCAAACTACGAACTAAACAATGGTACATTTTAATCTTTACTGAAACGAATGCTTCTCAGTAAAAAGGTGTCAC